GAAAATAAAGGGACACTCTTCCCAGGCTATCCTGCTACATCATAAAGAGAGTGCCTAAAAATACTTTTAAAATTTTAAAATATTTCCTTCTTTACCTTGAAAAAATGTGGCTTATTAATCAACAATCCTACAGAAGAATCAACAATCTACAATTAGTTAACAATCTAGTAGAATTAGCCAGTACACAGCTAGCCGTGCACCATTAGAGCATAAGAGACAGGGATTGTGCGACAAGAAGCACAGAGATCTGGAAAATGGACAAAAAGTTAAAAACTTGGCACAAATACAAAGGAATATCACAGAGGAATAGGCTTACAATCTATATATGAGATAGAAGGACACTAAAAACACTGTAGTATTTAAAATGTAGTGAGCTGAAGGACTCCTATAAGGGGGCAATACATTCACTACAACAGGAATGGAAATAACTGATCAAGCAGAAAAAGGGAGAAAAATGTTAGATATGGACAGAATAAAACTCTCTCACAAAGATTTGAGGAAGGTCAGGAAGGCCATAGTTGTTAAAGGAAACATGTCAGAATTTCATCCCAAGAAATAAATCTAGAACTCCAAGGAAAAAAAGAGTCAGATACCAAAAAGAAAAAAAAAATGAGGAAGGCAGATTTTAGAAAAAACTTCAGGAAAAATAAATATTTGTTAAAAAAAATGTAGGGTTAAACTGAAGGATTATTCCAAGGACAAGAGAGAGTAGAAAAGAGAGCGTCTATGGATAAAAACCTCCACAAAACTGTAAAGGATCAATGAAAACACCACATCCATGAAGAAAAGAAAGAGGAGAGTGCTGAGTACCAAAGGTGCGAGACAAATCATGAAGGATAAAACAAGGAGGCTGCCTCAGATTACACCAGAAGTCACCTGTGATCTTGCCATAGTTCAATGAACTGCAAGAGTCAGAAACAAAAGTCAGATACCAAAAAGAAAAAAAAAATGAGGAAGGCAGATTTTAGAAAAAACTTCAGGAAAAATAAATATTTGTTAAAAAAAATGTAGGGTTAAACTGAAGGATTATTCCAAGGACAAGAGAGAGTAGAAAAGAGAGCGTCTATGGATAAAAACCTCCACAAAACTGTAAAGGATCAATGAAAACACCACATCCATGAAGAAAAGAAAGAGGAAAGTGCTGAGTACCAAAGGTGGGAGACAGATCATGAAGGATAAAACAAAGAGGCTGCCTCAGATTAAACCAGAAGTCACCTGTGATCTTGCCGTAGTCCAATGAACTGCAAGAGTCAGAAACAAAACTGGAGATCAGTGGAAGTATGGGTGGTCTAGGTCAAAACAGTATAAAAAAATACCATTACATATTTTGAAAGAACTCAGGACAAGGTATAATATAGCAGTTGAAGGGCAATTTATGCTGTGAAGAAACTGAAGCAGGGCAATTGAAATGAAACTGTGGCAGAAATGGAAAGCAGAGTTAGAAACTGTACGAAGTCAAAGCAGTGAAATCAACTGTGATATTTAGCAGCAGAAAGTACAAAGCAGTCTTCTAAATTTTAAAGAGAATAAAAGGATTGTAGTAAAGACTTGCAGCTATTTTTAAGTCAGTTTGATGCACAACTAAAATGATCCTTTACCATCAGCCTGCTCTGACATTCTAAGCAATCAGCACATTTTCAAAACATATTGCATTAAACTCCTGAAGGAGAAATTTTAACATACTTAAACACTTTTACCTTATTATTCCTACCATCTGGAAACATTTAAAGTTGCTAAAAATTACTAATAGGAGAAAAAGAGAAGGAAAGAAAAACAGGCTTCACACAGCCTCCTCCATACCAGGAAGTCAAAGTAAATTGAAAAGGATTTGCTACTGGCACTTAACCTCCACCTTACAGTTTATTTTTAGGATTGAGTGACAAGCTGTAACTTCAGAGTAGAAGAATAAGGGAAAAAGAGAAAAACATAGCTCACTCATATTCAGATATAAAATTTAAACCTTGAATTACTTTTTAAAGAGTAAGGAGAAAAAAAAAGAAAAAAAAAGAAACACCCAACATATAATTGACTTAATCGTGAATTTCCTGTGGCAGCTTTTCAATTGCTATTTTCATAGCTTACATGAATTAAAAACTCTGGAAAAGGGAGACTATCCATATGAAAGTCTAAAACATCACAGATCTGTAACACCTAGCAGTATTTAGTCACTGCTTGGATGCCACTGTCCTGAATGAACCTGCTCTATCACACCCATGCTAAAAGCAAACCAAGTATTACACTGATGTTGTACGTAAACTGCTTAGTCAACAGTTCTTTAAGCAATGGAGTTGAGAAAGAACAGGTCCCTGATCTCCCAGTACCCTAACTGTCAGTCTTCTTAAGAGAGCAAGCAAAACTACTACTGTCCCTGTATAGCTCAATAAATTTGCTTAGTTTTAGTTTCCAGTTGTTACCGAAAATTCTCAAACCTCTTCCCTTGACTTTGGCTTCCCTGCAACAAACACTGGGGCTGACAAAAACTAACAAACAAGCAAACAAACAAACAAAAAACTTCTTACTACTAGTAATCTACGCAATGGCATTTAAGACTTTTTTTTTCCCATCCTCCATCGATTAGTAAGTTCAAACTACCAAAGGCAAATTAGCCTCAAATCACTTTTTATCCAAAAGCAAGTAAAAGCAACAAAATGGTGAATAAAAAAATAGCTATTATTGGATTTTAACATCCAAAGTTACTGTCCCACCTAAAGGGGCATTAAAAAATCATAGAAATATCATAGAAAGGAAAACAAAATGCAGTTTTAAAAAAATGAGATTAAATAATCTAAAGTGGTATTGATAACATGGAAAAAAACTAATGAACCAGTTTCTCTGTTACAATACTTAATTCTAAACTATCTACATGAAACTTCCAAATGAAGGTAACAGGTCCAGCCCAAGCATAGAGGTGAAAGGAAACTAATCTAGACCACAGCTGTATCTCAGCATTACCCTTACACACACATGATTTAAGATCCTCCACAAAAAATCTGCATCTTAAGTTTGAGCAGTCAATAAAGAGGAACAAAAAAGCAGTCCTCTGAACAGCAAACACTGATCGCCAGACAAAGCAGGTCTGCTTACTAGCTCCTCTGTAACAGGGGTATTTGAGAGGCCCGCAGTTCATGGAATAGTATTTCCCTTGAAATTGATTTTGTACAGATTCAAGGGACTAACTCATGACACAACATTGTTACTTCATGCATAAGGTCTTTGTGGCAGGAGCCATCTTCTCGTTCCGTGGCAGGACAGTGCCTAGCACAGTGTGTTCCCAGACACTATAAATACTATTAGCACTACTAATTACTCAGTATACCATGCCAACAGATTCTTAAGAGGCTTCTGTCCCAGCATGCTGTGGCAGGCAAAAAGTGTTAACACGTGATGCAAAGTTCAGTTCCAGATTCCCTCAGTGCCCTTATTTCCTTCTGAACCACTTTGCTAATCTCCACCACGCACATCTGGGCTGCTGAATGACTGTTCTGCTGAAACCTCCTCCTGATTCAGTCCAGCACTTTCTATTCCTTAAAGTCATGCTTCTTCCAAGAGGACTACTAGGCTGCCATTTGATCGCCATAATGGGTATATCTCAATGCCTCATGATTTTTACTGATTTTTACATCAACTACCCTCCTTACATTGGAATCTATTGTCATGCTAACAAAAGGGTCTGAAGAAAGAAGACACAATTGCCCTGATCTTTAAAAACTTTTAATGCCTTCAGCCCATATGAGGCTTAAGCGTTATCTGATTCTTGCAGGGTGTTTGCCTAATAGTCAGAGTCAGATCTCCTAAGTCTTAAATCATGGCCCTAATTGTAAGAATAACTTCCTGCCTCCCTTCGCAGCCACCAAGATGTCTCTTAACTGCCCCTTACCCAGGAGGTGGCAACGCCTCCTGCTTTCATGGGAAGAAATGCCACTCATTCTGCAGTTTATAAACAGCACGACCGTTAAAACACGCTCCGATTTCAGGCTGATGAAGGAATCACTTATGGGAAGAGGAGGTGGCAAGATAAGGAAAAATCACACCCGTCCCAGTGATTAAACCTCACAGGGTGCCAACAGCATTACGGAAACATCGCACCCTGTGCGGGTCAACGCTGGGGCAGAGCCGCGGCAGGTCTGGAAAGGGCGCTGGTTGCCAGAGGCCGCCCCCTTAGGTTCCTTAGGCGGCTTCTCCTCACTCCCCGCCTCAGCAAGCGCCAACCGCCAGCGCAGCCTCCCAACCGCAGCAGTAACGGTCGCAAAAGGCCCAGCGCCCCGAGAGCTAGGGGCTATAGGAGGGAGGGAAATCAGCCTTTAAGGAGGCCGCGCTGGGAGAACGGAGCAGACCCGTGGGGAAG